GGGGGGGTGCATATGTATGGTGGGGTATGTGTGTGGAACTCACCCAACAAACCCACACCCCACCATCCCCCATACCAGCACGGGCCCTGTGTTCCTGCGGTCCAGCAATGCAGCTGGGAGCCAGGTGGTGCTGAAGCAGTGCACAGGCAGGGAAGAAGGGAAATGGCTGGGGGTGGGGGGTGCTCCTGGGTCCTGCTGCTGGCTTCCCATGGTTCCTACTGCCCCTGTCACATCTTTAACAGGCAGCAAGGAGCAAATAAATATTAAATTTTCTAAATGTTTTAGGTGCCCCACGAGCCACATAGAATGGCCTGGCTGGCTGTAGTTTGCCCACTCCTGAGCCAAAGTAAGATCTGATCAACTGCATCCCCATACAGTGCAGGCTAGGAGGGGCTATGTACTCACCAGTCTCAAGGCTGAGCCCAAAGTAGAAAAGAGCCCCGTCACCCAGGGCACAAAGAAGGTAATGACTGCTCTCAAAGGTGGTCATCAGAATGGAGCGGGGAATGATCTCTGCAAGGGGAGAGGGAGACAGAAGGCTCCATTAGCATCGCATTAGCTTCACTAACCGCTCTCAATGCAGAACACTGGCAAGGGAGGGCCTACCTCCTCCCAGCATCTCCTTGTGCAGCAGCTCAAACGAAGGCAGCTTTAGGATACGGGCAGAGATGTCAGTCCACAGGCCAATGGCACACAGAGGGGACATGCCGTTTGTGTCCCCCAAGGGCGTGATATCCAAGCACGCCACTTCATGTTCCATTTCTGTGCAGCTGACACAAAGAAAGGAAACAGACTTGTCAATACTAGACCATGGGGCCAGAGGAACCTGGACTTGAGGAAGGGGGGGAAAAAAAAAAATCTTACCCACCTTATCTGGCTGAGCTCCTGCGGATGGATCTCCAGGTAATATAGTGCTCGCCCCACAGCCACCACCACCTGGCTGCTGTTACAGGAAGCCACGCTGATGTTCTTTCCATTGGGCTCTTTCCATTCACTCACCAGGGCTTTGGGCTCTTGGCTTACCAGCCGCACAGAAGCGGATGTGATCTGGAGAGGCAAAAACATACTCCGCTAAAACAAGGGCACTTAAGCCACCTCCTTCCTCTCCGTTCCCCCTGCACGACACAACTCAGTCCAAATGGAAAAGCTTCCCCCTCCCCTCACCTCCCAGCTGGGAACATATTCTATTACAGGGGTGAGCAACTATTTCAGTTGGACGGCAGCTTAACAAGTTTTGGTGAGCTGTCCAGGACCACAACAGTACACCCCTTGTCACACTGCTAAGCCCAGCCCTTTGACAAATGCCCCTCCCCCTGGTCACCATCTTGGGACGTTCCCCTTACCCCAGAAGTCTGGGGAAGTGGGGCGGGGGGGAGCATAGTTCCCATCTTGGAACCAGAAGTCCCATCCTGTCACATGGTCCATGACATAAGCCCCACCTACCTGACAGTCCTGCTCACTGCCATGTTGGTCCCAGAGTCTCCTGCCCCCTGACATCACAGGGTCCACCCCTTGACTGAGAAACACTGCCCCTCCATAGGGCCTACCCTGAAGGTGCATGGTGTGCCCCTGGGGCCCCAGAAGTTCTGCCCTCGAGGTCACAAGGCACAGACACAACCTATCAAGTAGATAGGGGTTGTGACCCCTCTAACTACCTGCTCCATCACCCTCAACCAATCACTGGGGGTTTCAGGGGCATCGGACCACACCAAGAACAGCGCCAAACCAATCGAGTTGAGGGCTGTGCACAACATCTTTCAGAAGAAATCATTTTAACGAAGTATAAATAAAAAACAAATCCTACGCTAAAAATCAAACATCTACTATAACATATTTTATTTCAAGAAATATTTTTGTCCTGATTTATATATGTTTGAGTAGCATATATAGAGATGACTGCACAATATCTCAAAATAGTCTTACTTTTGTTTATTGTGTGTGGGGGGTGGGGGCGGTTGTTGTGGGATGTGCGTATGTGGGAGGCGGCCTGAACGCTAGGTCCTGGGAGCTGGCTAGGGGTGGGGAAAGGAGAGGGGGCAAATGCTGCATGCAGCAGAGCTTGCTGGGATGGTGCAAGTAGTCTGCACCCCTCTCCCACAACCTCTGGCTCCTGGCTACACCCTGGCACTCTGACTGGGGCCAGGTGGCAGCAGCCCTGCCCAGAAGCTGTGTGTGCTGGCCAGGGCCCTCAAGTGGGCATGGGTGCGAGTGCAGTGTGCGCTGCCCTGGGAGAGAGCAGGTGGGGCTCAGCCCCACAAAGAGCATAGCAGGAGCAGCTGTGGGCCAGGCCAGAATTAATTGGTGGGTGCCCGCCTGCAGGCCAGATTCAATCAGCTGGCAGGTCAGATCCAGCCTGCAGGCCGTATTTTGTCCATTCATTCTATCAGCTTCTTACTGTGATGCTCCCAAAATTGGAAGGGCTGTGGAATCACACAATTGAAGAAACCCCTTCCCCTCTTGCCAGCCCGAACATTACCTGGATTAGTTGTTGATGGGCCACATTGCCACAGAAAAAGGTCTGTTGATCATCTACAAATCCTGTCAACTCTGTTTCCTCCACTTCCTCTCCATTTAACATCAGAACCCTATGAGGGAGACCCCAGTAAACCAGGTGCAAAACACACACAGCCTATAGCCCACCAGAGGATCCCTGCCCTCTCTTACCTCGTCTGGCCGACAAAAGAAAGCACCAAGGTGTTATCAGTTTCACGATGAGAGTCTGACCTCAGGGGCCACAAACCTGCAGCAGAGATTACATTTACTTGAGTAATAAAACATCCCAGTGTAGGGCAAAGATATGTTTTGTCCCTCATTACACTCCCCAGTGGGCATGAAGGACAAGTTTCTAAACCGCCTCGGGTCACAACCAAGCACAGTTGTAAAACAGACAGAGAGCTATAGGCCAGTGCATGCGCGCTGTAATCCATAAAGGCTCACATACCTTTAATCCCCAGTAGGTCAATGCTGGCATGCTCATGTATCCCAATCCCATTCCTGATGATCCTCAGGGAGCCCTCCTTAAAGGCACCAGAGCATGTTACCAACTGAAATGAGAATGAAACTTCAATCAGTATTACCCACTGGGAGTGTTTCACTAACACCCCATCAAGGCATCACTTTAAGAGGCATCTATGTGGGGACTCAGTAGGAAGATGGGATCCTGCCACCTCTACCGCACAAAGGCAGCTTTTTGAGTTAAGAGCATTACCCCTTTCATTTGCGTTCAATTATTCCCCACCCTACATGAACCAGTATCACAGAAGGGGTAACTTTCCCTCACAAGAAAGCGGCTCTGGGAAGCAGCCTTTCCACCACCACTGCTTTGAATTCCAAAGTTTTTATCCAAATGCCCAATATGGAGCAAAGGTATTCCTCCTCTGCAGGGGACACACATGCCCAAGATGCATGCCCCTGTTGAGCTCAGACACCTCCAGTACTAACAAAGGTGAGGCAGCACCTATACATTACCTGCCCTTGGCCTTGTCTCTCCAGATCAACCACACACATGTCCACAATGGGGCCCAGGTTGGTGAAGGTCTCCATGGCCACCACATAGGAGCCCTGTTCATTACTGTCCACATTGAGCTGTTAACAAACAAAATCAAGCCAGAATGAACCAGGACACGGACATTAGAAGAAAGGAGATGCGAGGAGCCTGGGACAGGCAATGGGAAAGTGATGTGAAGGTGAACAAATGCAGATGCCCATGGACTATGATGGGGAAAGAGCTGCTGCCTACCTTCACAAGCTGGGAATCCCCAAGCCGAGAGCCAACAAAAACAACACCATTGTCCAGGTAGGTCAGACACTCCGCAATGGACGTCTGGGCAAGGAGACAGACAAACCAAACAGTACAGTGACACAGTATGTAACAGATACATGGTATTTCCCCACCACAGACCCTCCAAGCGCCAATCCCCAACTCCAGCTCTACAGGATGGGGAGGAGAGAGGGATAAGCCCGAGGAGAAATCCCCTTACAGAATCCACCCACTTCCCCCAGAATTGGTCCCACGCACCAATGCCAATGTGAACCCCAAAAGACAGTATAGTTTGCAATACCTACACTTTATTTCTCCAACCCAAATCCAGCTGCTAATGCTTCAGAGGATTCAGTAGGTGACCAAATGTCACCCCATCCCAGCCTCAAACAAGAACTCCCCTTCCTCACCATCTGCATCTCCAAACGGCCCATTCTGCTACGAAATCATCAAGCACTCAAGACCGCAAGCACTGCACACTATACAGCTGGATTACCTCCCCAAGCAGCTCCACTCGCAGGTCCTTCAAGGTGACTGTGCCATCCATCTGTTCCTCCTTCTCCAGAAGCAGCATGAAGAGACGACCCTCCATGTCCCCCAGGAGGTAACGGGACCCGTTGGCATCCACACGATTGTGGCATACAATTGTACTTTGCTGTGTACAGAGGAGGGTGGAATCACAAGAACAGCGTCACTACTGGAACCCTCTAGCTTCGTGTCAAGCTCCCAGCAGAAGCCACTATTCAATATGCCAGAAAAGAATGAGAACACCCCCAAATGCATCCAGTATGAGGGGATGCATTTCCCTCACCCAGGGAAAAATGGACTGAAATCCTCCCAGAGCACTGAACTCATAACTACATCCACATCTGAAATCGAACTTTCCCACTTTTTCATTGCTTGGGAAAGTCTCTGAAAAGTACTGTGCGGGCTGAAGCACCTCATGCTCCTCCTCTTCTCAGGGGCAGTTCCAGCAGAAAACCCATTCCCCCAGGTAAGCATTTCAAGCTGATCAATCAAAAAATGCTATTTTCAGATGCTAGTAGATGCTATTTTGGGCCTAGATAGCTCCAAGGCTGCTTTGTTTTAGGGCTATGAACTCTGTGCATGTGCTGCTGTGTGATGGATGCTGCCTGGCCCCTTGTCAAGACATCTGGCTTGAAGACCTGCATCCTCCTCCTGCAGGCCTGATGTAGACAAACATCACATTGGCTTCAAAGGCATCATGCCTACAAAGACTCTGCACGGCAAAGTCCAGTGTTACATGTTGGCAAAGCACAGGCATCATGGGGTTCTTCATACCAATCTGACAGGCATGAAAGCACAGGGCTCTGAACAGCCTCATCCTCATACCTATAAGTACTCAAGACCTGATGCCAGTGTTTCTTTGCATGGCATTTATAGGCATTTTTAACCAATTAATGGTTTCCCCTTTGAACAAGCATTAATCACATCTTCAATTTCCTCTCAGTCAAAAGCACAACCCCTCTCATGGCCCCCATATCCAGCCTATGCTTTCTATGTAGTTTGCACCCAGGGACTGTCATACCCTGCTGCCTATAATCACGCCCCTGGCTCTATCCTCAGGTCCGTAGCTCTTCTCTTCCCAGAGGGAGCATTCCCTCATGCTCAAGTGTTGTACCTGAGACCAGCAGGGACTAGTTTGTAACTCACACTACAACAGGTACAATTTCTTTGTGAGCCAATACCTGAATCTCACGTTACTTTCTAATTAACCCCTTGTTTTGGGATCCAAGAAGTTCTGAGCTTCGTGGTGTTTTTCCCCAACTCAGACACAAAGTTTAGCCCTCCATATTCATGGCTATAATAGGGGGCCAACAGGGCCAAAAAAACACACCACCCCCTGACATATTCATCAAACACCGAAGGATAGGAACCAACCACTCTACCAGACACCCAATCATGCAAACCCCAGTAATACCCTAAGCTATCACACAGGAGTAAAGGTAGCCTATTCCACAGGCAACTGAGGAAACAAAATCAGTTAAACTCCTAAACCTGGGAATGCTCAATATACATGGGCCTGAGACCATGCCATCTGTGCAGGATGCAGTACAATGTGCAAAGTGAGAAGCAGCTGTACACATGGTCCTAAGTATCAGCACTACCAAAGATGTATTCGAAATTCCAAAGAGGAGCTCTCTCACCTTGATGATGGGAGGAGCTATAGCAAGATATTTATCGCCATTGTGGTATGTGATGGACTCCTGCCCAATGATGATAGCACCTCCAAAAGGCTCAGGCACTGCAGAAGGAGAATGCAGAATCTCATTAGAAAATAGGTACAAACAGGGTGATGCAGCATGGCTGAGGCAAGACATGGGAAGCAAGATCTTTGGTAAAGGAGGACCAACCTGCAATCACCATGGATGCTTCGGCCTCTACGTTTTCTTGCTTCCAGGGACCTTTGTTAAACTCCTTCTCTCTCAAAGACACCTCGTATGTCTTGACATGGCGGCCTTGGGGGTCCTGTGAAAGGGAAGCAGTAGGCATCATTGTAACAATCAGTCAAAATAAGGTGGGTGTTTGATCATGAGCCCAGAGTTAATGCCACTCTAAAGGGGATGCTCCACACTGAAGAATGGAAAATAGCCTGAATACTCGCAACTAACATCAGCATAGCACCAACTTAAAAAATTGTCTAAGTATTTCTATTCCAACTGCAGTTTTAGATGCCCTCAGATACATTTTTAAAACAAACTTAAGAACAGATGCAGCACCTTCTAGGACTCTTGCATATCAAGCAAGGAAAATAATTTATTCGGTCTCTTATGATACTATTTTCTTTGTCATGACTTCTCTTTACTGACAGACAGTCCTTTTCCAAGGCATACCTTTTCTTCAATGGTTGTTTTATACTACAGCCATAATGGTTTGTACTAGACTGGCTCCAAGCTGTGCAAACACTGTACAGGAACATGGCCCCTATCCCAAACAACTTGTAGTCTAAGATGACAAAAGAGCATATGATAACACTGAGATGATATCCATCAGCACAAAAAGCAGTGATCACAGCACACTCACTAGCTAACTGATGTCTAGGTCACCTCTGGGCGTTTTTTTGTGTCAACCAGCAGTCTTCCATACGTGCATGTTGAAGGACTAGTAGTTAACTAACAAAGCTCAGATTTAGCAGTTTAGGAAGGCAAGCAAATGTCACAGCCTTTATCGTATCCAACCTGCCTGGGATTGAGCCATAGATCTCCTGAGCTAAAGGCGCACATCTCTACAGCTTGAGGCAAAAAAACAGGCATTGTAGCTGAGACTGTGTAGCTATGATCTCACATACAACAGGATCTAGACCACAAAAATCCTAACCATGACTTTATGTCACCCTATTAAAGTACTGCATAGTATATTACTTAAATATGGCTACCTACTTTTCACAGAAATGATTTTTCTGGACTCATTTGCCTAATGCACAATAATATTCTGTTCTACAAAACTGCAAAAAGACTGTACAATACTATTAATATTTCAGAAGTAGTACAGAATCTTAGAATTAAAAGACTACACTGTAATGGTCCAGATGCCCCAAAAAGCTGAGTGAAGGTCACTAGTTTGAATTTCTCCAAAATGATTTTGTTAAAAAGAAAAGGTGCTGTTTGGCTCTGCATTTACTGCGTCAGCACTTTCCAGATCAAATCTCCACAATATGAGAAAACATTTTTACTTTATAACTGCCAACTCTGCAAATGCAAACTCAAAGTTAAGCTGTATTCTTTCTGGCTCAAGCTTCAAATACTCTGCAACTGAAATATAGCAAGCAGTTCTGGTGACAATACTCTTAGAGAATCCAGCTTGCATTACTTCAGTTGTCCTGGAGATACAGATTCAATGGGACTAAAGCGCGAGGCAAATTTTAGCCAGAAATGTTCAAGGCATAAATCTAGTGAGCAAGCGGCCACTGTCTTAACAGATTCTTGTCAAAGTAAAAAAAAAAAGTTAATGCTGGCATTTCTTGACCTACTTTGAGTGCCTGCAACTGCAAGTCCTCTGTATGGAATAATTCATATTTGTGGTATCTATCTCTGGCATAAAATATATACCCAACGCATTTAAGAAGGTTCATTGTGATTCTACTTGAACCAAATCCTGTGATCAGAATTAATCCATCTGAAGAGAAATGAAATGGAAGAAGCATTTGGAAACACCCTTGTACCTCCACACACGACTTGGATGCAGAATGACTAAAACAACGCAAATATTTTATACAAGAATTAATGAGTCAGGGGGGGATGGTTGTCTTACTTGCTGCAAGGGCAAAATCTACTATACTGCATAAAGAGCGTCTGGCAGAGACAACCAAGCCAATAATCAATCCTTGCACTAGCACTGCTTGTTTATTATGAACAGGATATTAATACAATCATAGAACATTAGGGCTGGAAGGGACCTTGGGAGGTCATCTAGTCCAACGCCCTGCTCCAATCAGGACCATCCCCAACCAGATCAGTCCAGCCAAGGCTTGGTCTAACTGGGTCTTAAAAACCTCCAAGGATGGAGATTTCACCACCTCTTTGGGTAACCTGTTCCAGTGTTTTACTACACTCTTAGTGAGAAGATTTTTCCTAGTATCCAACCTAAACTTCCCTTGCTGCAACTTAAAACCATTGCTCCTTGTTCTGTCATCTGCCACTACTGAGAAGAATATAGCTCCATCCTCTTTGGAACCCCCTTCAGGTAGTTAAAGGCTGCTATTAAATCCCTCTTAGTTTTCTCTTCTCTAGACCAGTGGTCTCCAACCTTTTCAAGTAGGAGATGATTTAAAAGCAACCCAAGGTCTACCGCGCGCTGCTGTCACCCACCGCCCTATGTCCAACGGGTAAGCCTGTGGGGGGGAAGGGGGTGGGGGGGAGCAGAACGAGGCAGAGGGAGAAAAAATTATTTGGGGGCGCGCCTTCCCAGCAGGTAAATCCCACCCAGCCCCACTCAACTTACCTCTGCTCCTGCCCCTGAGGCACTGTCCCTCACCACAGGGGCCTCAATCACAGCCCCACCTCTTCCCTCCCCCACAGACAGACCTGCTGGGCTGGGGCATGTGCATGCATGCACGCAGACTCTCAGCCCCCCACCTCAGGCTCAAATCGACTCCAAGTGGCCCTGAGATCTACCGCAAGACGCTCCAAGATCTACCGGTGGATCAAGATCCACTCGTTGGTGACCACTGCTCTAGATTAAGTAGCCCACTTCCCTTAGCCTCTCCTCATAGGTAACGTACCCCAGCCCACAAACCATTTTCACTGCCCTCTGCTGGACTCTCTCCAACTTTACATCCTCTCTGTAGTGGGGGGGGGTCCCAAATCTGGACACAATATTCCAGATGCAGCCTCACCAGTGCTGAACAGAGAATAATCACTTCCCTTGACCTGCTGTCCAACACTCCTACCAATGCAGCCCAGTATGCCATTAGCCTTCTACGGAACAAAGAAACTGTGGCAGAGCCAGGGAGAAGAGAGGGAAAGAAACCCTGCTCACCGCCTTGCCTTAGCCAACTGGAGCCCCAAGACTTACCAGACACCCAGCCCCAGCACCAGAGCAGCAGAGCTGGAACGGCATCTCCACTTGTTCCTGGCAGCATGGGGTGAGCAGCAGAGCTGGGAACTAGTGTTACAAACAGCCATTGGCTCAAACTGGAACGCCTGGTGGAGGTATGGCTATGGCTCCTTAGAAGCTTCTCAAGTGAGCCAGAAGCCAGCTGATTCTGGGCCATTCTTCCTTGTAGCAGAAGGGAGCGGCCTCAGCTGTGCAGCAAAGACAGCTGATGATTGGCTCCAGGGATGGGGCAGAAGCCTTAAAAACTTAGAGGAAACCAGACCCAGCAGTGAGCTGAGGAGAATGCATGTCTGGCAGCAGATGGGTAAGAAGCAGCCTGTCTGCTCAACTTTTCCTATACTGATAACAGATGGACTTCAGGGGCCAAGGCCAGCACCTATAGCAATGACACAGGGGTGGCAGCTCTAATAATGACCGATTAATCTCCGGAGATATAAGGCGGGAGTGTAGGGGTGGAGGAGCTCCCAAACTTGGCCCTTAAGGCCCTATACTGCCTTCCAGCCCCTAACAACCCATGAATCTATGAATAAAGCCCGACAAGAGACCCTAAAAGGACAAAGACACCGAGCTTGGCAAGCATTACCCTTGGGGTGACGGCAACTTGGTGACAGGAATACTGTTGGCTCATATTCAGCTTACTGTCCACTGTAACCCCCCAGGCCCCTTTCTGCAGAGCTGCTGCCTAGGCAATAACTACCCAACCTGTACCGCTGTGTGGGACTGTTCCGTCCTAAGTGGAGGACTTTGTACGTGTCCTTACTGAACCTCATGAGATTTCTTTTGGTCCAATCCTCCACATTGTTTCATAGATTTCATAGACATTAGGGCTGGAAGGGACCTCGGAAGATCATTGAGTCCAGCCCCCTGCCCCAGGGGCAGGAAGTCAGCTGGGGTCATAGGATCCCAGCAAGAAAAACAACCAAATTTCTCTTGAAGGTGTACAATGTAAATGCTTGCACCACCTCCGATGGCAGGCTATTCCAGACCTTGGGGGCTCGGACAGTAAAGAAATTCTTCCTTATGTCCAGCCTGAAACGGTTTTGCAGGAGTTTATACCCGTTTGACCTTGTCATCCATTGGGATGCTCTGGTGAACAAACGTTCCCCCAGATCCTGGTGAACACCCCTTATAAACTTATAGGTGGCCATCAGATTGACCTTGAGCCCGCACTTTTCCAGGCTGAACAGTCCCATAGCTCTCAGCCTCTCATCATAAGGTTTGTTTTTCTGACCTGTGATCATACGCATGGCTCTCCTCTCGACTCTCTCAAGCTTCTCCACATCCTTCTTGAATTGTGGAGCCCAAAACTGGACACAGTACTCCAGCTGCGGCCTCATCAAGGCCAAGTACAATGGGAGAATGACATCCTGGGATTTGCTTGAGAAGCATCTATGGATGCAAGTCATGTTGAGGTCTCTCTGAATCCTAGCCCTACCATCCAGTGCATCTACTACTCCCCGCAGCTTGGTGTCATCTGCAAACTTGCAGAGGATGCACTCTATGCCATTTTTCAGGTCACTGATAAAGATACTGAACAAAACCAGCCCCAGAACCAACCCCTTGGGCACTCCACTTGATACCAGTTGCCAGTAGACATTGAGCCATTGATTAATATGCTCTGAACCCAATGATCCAGACAGTTTTCTATCCATCTTACAGTCCATTCATCCAACCAACCAGTATTTCCTTAGTTTGGCTGCAAGAATGTTGTGAAAAACCATATCAAAAGCTTTGTTAAAGACAAAGAATACCACATTCACCTGTCTCCCTGCAATCACAGAGCCAGTCATCTGATCATAGAAGGCAATCAGGTTGGTCAGACATGACTTGTCCTTGGTGACTCCATGCTCACTGTTCCTAAACACCTTCATCTCCTCCAAAGGGCAAAGAAAGAGGTATACAGGCTGTGGAAA